TCAAAAATGTTTTTCCAACAGGTTGAAAAGAAAATCTACAGACTGGGAACAAACATTTGGCAATACCATCCCAGACAAGAGTCTCATAATGAAAGTTTATAGAATACTCCTGGGCCTCCACAAGAAAAAGACTGCTAACCCAATTACAAAATGGGCAAAAGACATGCAAAGAATTTTCAAAGGATGATATTCAAATGGCCAACAGACATATGAAGAAATGCACCGAATCACTGGCAATAAGAAAGATGCAAATCAAAAACACAATGAGATAGCATCTCACTGCAATAGCAGTGGCAAAATTTAACAGGACAGCAAGTAATAAATGTTGGAGAGAATGTAATGAGATAGGAACTCTGTTACATTGTTGATGGTTTTGTAAAATGGTACAACCACTCTGGAAGGCTGTTTGGTGCCTCCTCAAAAAGCTAAACACAGAAATTCCATATGACCCAGCTACTCCATTACCTGGAGTATACCCCAAGAAAATGAGAACCGAAGCTCAAACAGCAACTTGTACACCAATGTTCACCGCAGCATTATTCAACATCACAAGAACATGGAAACAGCCCAGATGTCCAACCACAAATGAATAAATTGAGAAGTTGGGGTACATTCATACAATGGAATACTACACAGCACACAGGAGCAATCATTTAGTAAATTACTACCTAACTTGGGAGGGACTGGGGAGCATTATGCTGAGTGAACTAACTCAGTCCCACAAGGACAAATACTGTATAAAACCATTATTGTAGAAAAAGTATGAGGAGCCAATGTGGGGGAAGGGTGGAAATAGAGGGTTGAGGATGGGGGTGGCTAGAGAGCTAATCATAGGGTTGCACAATTCCATGGATGGGTGGGGTGAAGGAAAGGAGAAGGATCTTTTGTGAAAAACAATGTATTCAAATTTTGTAAAAAAATCAGAATAAAATTTAAAAATAAATTAATTCATTAAATAACCAAATAACCACACTTGACCATCTGATCTCTCTAAGACAGAAACTAGCAACACCTAGTGAGCTCAGAACACTAAGACTTATGTAATTAGAAAAGATGTTATCTCTGGCCATCACTCCACAGGTCTTAGCTCAGGACACAGTGTGTACTGAGAGAAGTTGACTCAGAGTTGTGGGCTGAGGACCCAGACTGAGGGTGACATTCAGGCTCCACCCTTCCTCTCTGGATCCCCAGGGTTGAGGTTTCTCTGCAGCCACACAGCTCTGTCCAGGCAACCCTGAGCTCTGCTGATTTGCCTAAGTGAAGGCTCTTCAGAAACAGAACAAGGCCCAGGGGAGACCAGATCCAACATGCTCACAGAAGCATATCGTTGAGTGTTATCACCATGACCTGGACCCCTCTCTTCTTCTTCACCTTCATTGTTCATAGCACAGGTGCTGCCGTCAGTTATCTGCTATGCAATCCCAGACAGGCTTGGTCTGACTCTGAACTCAGAGAACCAGCCTGCAGGGGACAGTGGGGCTTATGGAGCTAGAGCACCAGGGGCATCACACTCATCCAACGGAGACCTGTCCTTCATCCAAGGGTTCCTTCCTCTGGACCCTGTGGTGGGAGCAGAAGAGAGATTGGCCCTGTGGGTCCACAGATTCTCTGAGTTCAAAGGAAGGTGGACGTCCTAGGATTGAGCCCTTCAGCTGTAACTCTCTTCTGCAGGCCCTACAAACTCCTGTGAGCTGACTCAGGCATCCTCAGTGTCAGTGGATCTGGGACAGGTGGCCAGCATCACTTGGGAAAACAGCATTAGAAGTAAAAGTACTCATTAGTACCAGCAAATGCTAGGCCAGGAGCCTATTGGTCATGAGCTATGATGACCAGTGGCCCTCCAGCATCGCTGACTGATTCTCTGGTGCTAACTCAGGGAATATGGCCACCCTGACCATCAGCAGGACCCAGGCTGAGAATGAGGCTATTACTGTCAAGTATGGGACAGCAGTGCAAGTAACAGTGACATAGGCAGATGGGGAAGTGAGACAGAAAAACATTCCCACCACGCCTGATTCACCTAGTCTCACTCCTGGGTCTCACTGAGCAGGACAGATTTTTACTGTGCATAGACCTTTCTAGTCCTGTTGTGGTTGTTAGGTGTATGATTCGCAATGACATTATGAACAACAGGTGTGAACCCAGTCCTATCCTGTGCCATCCTTTTTCTGACACACTTAAGCCCATTTCTGCAGTCACTGTGTCAATCTATCTCATTGAAGCGTCTTCCTCTCTTTCGCTGACGCTCCACCTTTCCGAGTTTCAGCCTGTATTTTCTGGACACACAGAAAAAACTTCCTGTGTCTTTAAGTTCTAGCATAATCCAGAGTCAATGGAGCAGGTCTTTCTATCACCTCAAGCTCCCTAAAGACCGCAGACTCCACCAAACTCAATGCTAATTCCAACTCATAGCAACCTTGTGGGACAGAATGAACTGTCTCATTGAACTTTCAATAACTATTAGTCTTTACAGAAAGGTAGTGTCACATCTTATTTGTTTGGAACATCTGATGACATCAAATCCATTAAATCCACCACAGCTGAATGTTTTAATCATTGTGTCACCAGGTATCCTTTTCTAAAGACCCAAGACTGGAAATCCAACAGTGATACCTAAGGCAGAGTTCACCCTGATCGACTCTCAAAAGGTGGTCAGGGGGTGTTAACACTCATAAGAGATGGCATGAAACCCCTTTGAGACATGTCATAAAGGAAGGAAACATCTAGAATTGGATTGTATTCTTGAGATTACAAGCAGCACAGCTTGAGGCCAAGCCCTGTGATATCATTAAAAGCTAAGGCCTCAGTTACATGTTAGGCACAAGAATAGCAGCAAACACTAAGAGGACATTAGTATTAGAGGTGAGGCCAGTGACCTGGACTCAGACTGTGGAATGTCCTTCAGATGCCCCCAAGGACAGCCATCAGGACCTCCAAGGAGACTTCAGTTCCCCTTAAGCCTCAGACAAAGACCTCTGACTTCATTCTTTGATTTTTTTTTCTCTTGGCCAGTCCAATCACCTGGCTGAAGAAGATTGTAATGCATCAGATCTTCATTGTTCCTCTTTTAGAGTCTTTATCTCTGTCAATATCATCTTCTTTTCCAAGTACAATGTCTTTTTACAAGAACTGGCACCAACTGACAAGTGCAAAGTATGTGAGATGAAGTTTCACGATCCCAGCCTCTAAGGAACAAACTGATTATTCTTCCTCCAAGAAAGATCTGTTTGTTCTTTTGGAAGTCCATGGTGCAGTTGTAAAAAATTTTCTTTTCTTGATGGTAAGGGATAATCCACATTGAAGGCTGTAATCTTTGATCTTCGGTTAACATTTTAATTCTTCTTTACCTTGTCACCAGGGGGCAGCAGAGATCACAGACTCGGAGACAGGGGTCCAGGACAGCAGCCGGATCATTTCCCAGGATCCCAATCAGCAATCAGGGTTCTCACTGTGACCTCAGATCTGGAGAAAGATGTCCTCACTGGAGTATATTCCTTGTTACTGCTCCTGTATCTGTCGGATCTAGCTCTCAGACACTACCTTCCTCTAAACATAGGTTGAGGGACCTATGACTGACTATCAGCCTAGATCAGACATGAAACTTTATCATGGACCCAAAGACTGTCTTCTTCGACACAAAATCCTCTTTAAGCTCTCCCTACTGAGAAACTACATGACTTGCTGTATAACTGCTCTCCATGGTCTCTAGAAGCTTCTCCCGTACCCACATCTCTGGTTTCTTAAAATTTCTCTTCATTACTGGGGTTTCCAGTGCCTGGCACACACACTGCTGTCATTTCTACCATTTTATTGAAGTTTGATTTGATGCTTCTCCCAGCACCTGAGGGTATCTCACAACACAATCACAGGAGGTGAGTGCAATGTGTGATTGTCTCTCATCATCTCCTACAGCAAGCCTGTCTTTCAGGTCATCAACCTTTCCTGGTCTGACTGCACCCTGAGGACAGCAGGACAAAACACCTGTCACCAGCCACCACAGGGCAGAGATTGACAGGGAGCACCTTATCTTCCTCAGGGTCGTCTGTGACTGCACTGCTGCCTGTCAGATGGGTGGAAACTTGCACCCCTCTGAGCTCCAGGATGCAGTGGGTCCTCGAACAGAAGAGGGAATGTCACAATGAAAGAGATAGAACTAGTTTTATCATTAGATTTTTCCAAAATTTTCAAGGCGAGAACACATCTCATCCTGAAATAGAATGAACACTTCCAAGCAGTCTCAGAATGGGCAGAGTAAGACCCTGCAGGTCTAGAACAAGTACAACATCCAAACAGCGATGATATGGTCACTCCGGGACAGGCCCCAGAATCACATAATGGGCACAGGGTTTGTGTCTTATGTAGTTAGAAAAGATGTCATCTCAGGACAATAGTTCACTCAGGTGCTACCTCAGGACATAGTGTGGACATGGAGAGGTTGGCATGGGGGAGGTCCCTGGACTGAATATGACATGCAGGCCCCACCCTCCCTTTCTGGTCTCCAAAGCTTTGATTTCACACAGCGCCTTCCAAGCAGCTCTGAGCACTCCAGATTTGCATAACTGAAGGCTCTTCAACAAGATGATAACAGGGCCCAGGAGAGACCATACCCAGCATCCTCTCAGAATCAGGCCTATGCATATCATCACCAGGAACTGGACCCCTCTTTTCTTTACCATCTTTGCTTCTGCACAGATGCTGCCCCCAGTTGTCCCCTATTGCCACCTCAGGTCCCTGGACATGCCTGATCTGACTCTGAGCTCAGAGGCACCACATGCAGGAAGCAGCTGTGCTCTTGGGGCTGGAGCCCTGGGACATCACCTTTGTCCAGTGCAGGGCTGTCCTTCATTAAAGGGCTCCCTCCTCCAGCTTATCCTCAGGACCCTGTGGTGGGGACAGAAGGGAGAGGGCCCTGTGGGTTCACAGATGTCCTGAGTTCAGGGGAGGGTGGACCCCTGGGGTTGAGCCCCTCAGCTGTAACCTAACACTCCTCTCTCTTGCAGGCCCTGCAGCCTCTTATGAGCTGACTCAGGCACCCTCAGTGTCAGTGGGACAGACAACCAGCATCACCCGTCAGGGAGACAAACTTGGAGATAAATATGTTCACTGGTACCAGCAGAAGCCAGGCCAGTCCCCTGTACTGGTCATCTACGAGGATAGCAAGTGGCCTTCAGGGATCCCTGAGCTCTTCTCTGGAAATAACTCAGGCAACATGGCCAACCTGACCATCAGCAGAGCCCAGGCTGAGGATGAGGCCAACTATTTTATTGTAGTTTAGGTGCTGCTTACAATGACACAGGTAGATAGGGAAGTGAGACAGAAACCGGCCCAGCATGCCTGGCTCACTGATTCTCTCCTCCAGGTCTCACCGAGCAGGGAAGACCTTCATCCTGCTCTAGAATTTTCTATTCCTGCTTCAGTCTTTATTCTCATAATACACAGAAACAATTCCCAGTTGTTTTCTATATACTTGTTTCTGTAACAATCACAGTTGTTTCTATACAATCTAAACAATTATACAATTCTAAACAACTCCCAGTTGTTTCTCTACAATCTATATCTATATACTTCAGCACATCCCAAGTCACGAGCAGTTCCTTCTTTTTTTTTAACATAAAACATATTTTTTATTGCTTTGTATGGATTTATTAAAAAATAAAACATTCTGAAAGACAGAAAAAAGTTTTCTACACTTATTTTTTCTACCTAGTCTTATTCTGTAAGTTTATCCCCCATGGTTACCCTGTCAGTATATAAGATGTTGGTGACATAGCTTCAAGTAATACACAAGCCACTACACTATGGCAGAATAACAGTGCAAGTAGCATATGATTAAGAACTGTTGGTGTAATAGAAGTTCAAGTGGTACTGAAGGCATTAATAAAAAACAAGGAATTGACAGATCAACAGTTGAGATTCTACAGAAAATGGATGTAAACTTCAAAGGCCTTACTTGTCTTTACCAAGAAATTTGGGAGATAGCTGCCTGGCCTATCAACAGGAATAGATCCATATCTGTGCACAGCTGTTAGTCTATCAATATCTTGTTTTTTAATTAAAAATTCAAATAAAGAGAAATAAAAATATTTATTTCTTGAAATACATTGGTAAATTGAGTAATTTACATTGTGTCATTAATGGAGACACAATGGTCATTATCAAATTGAGTGTGTCACTAACCACTCATCACAAATCTGAAAATAATGTAAAAACAACATGATGAGAAGTCATGATTCTAAAAAAGAATTGAAAAATAAAATGCAGTCATTATGATGTATTTGTAAACGTTGGAACAAGGAAATCTATTTTGGTGCTTTTGTGTTGTCGCCTTGTATTGTGGGTATAAATGCGCTCGATAAACTGTTCTTGATTTTTTAGCTGCTGCTTCTTTTGGAGCACCATATCTTTTCTTTCTCTTTTCAAAGTTATTTTTGATGGTAACTTTGAAATGTCTAAAAGTAGATTTAACGGAATCTGAAAATTTTTTCAGATTTTCTTTCACTGCTTCTTTAGCCTGTCTAATTTTTTCTTTATGATGCCTCACAAATTCTTTGGCTGAATTTTTCACTGCATCAAATGTTTCTTTTACTGAACCCAAAAATGTTTCCTTTGACTTCTTTTGTGCCCTCTGGTTTCCCCTGCTCCCTTTCTTATTTCCATCCGTTTCTTGTTTTCCAATTTGATCTTTTGCCTCAACATACAGTCTTTCCCACAGATCTGAACGCTGCTGTTCGAAGATTAGCTTCCGCTCCAGCTCAGTGAGTCTTTCCCGTAAGGTTTCTATTTCCTTTTTTTCAGTCAGTACATTTTCTGTAGCAAGGGACTTTTGCTGACTTTCAAAAGACATTTTCTCTTCTTCGGTAAGGGTCCAACACCTAGCAAGGTTTTCCTTCAATGACTTATCTATAAAAGACTCCTGTCCTTGCTGACATTGGGAAATATAATCCTTCATATCACTTAATTTATCTTCATGGTTTTTGACCAACTATTGATGTCTCAGAACCTGAACTGTACCATAGATATCCCCAAATCCCATGCTGATGGCAATCACCAAAGCAAGTATGACACATATATTAAGACCATTACTGAAATGGTGCTTATCCAAGTTCTCCTTGCAAGGTTCAGGCTCCTGTTCAGCAGACGGTTCCTCTTCAGCAGGACTGGGCTGATAACCAATTTCATCACTACGTGATTCATCATCATTATGTTGAGATGAAAATGCAATTTCTGACTGACAGAGTGTATACTGGCTGCTAAAGGAAGAAGCCATGTGAAAGGTTTCTGAGCTCTCTGCTTCTTCAACAATTACAGCTTCTTCCTGAATTCCAACTTCTTCTAACTTAGGTGGCTCAAGGGTAACAATATCAGAATCATCACTGACAGTTCCAAAGTAGATAATGTCTTCAAATGGTGTTTCTTCCTCTTCTTCAACTGCTGACTTGGTTTCTTCCACAGCTGGATGAGCAATTTCTCCCATCACCATTGTGTTCCTCTGGCTGTTTACACCTGACAAAACTTGAACTTCCTCATGCTCAAAAAACGAACCTTCTAGAACAAGCAGCCCATTATCACTGGCTACACCATGTTCAGAATTCACCATCTCAATATCAGATCCCTCATAACTGATGACAGTCCAATCACAAGATGAATCACTGTCACTGTAATTGGAATCTTCAGCCATTTTTCAGGTATCTCCGCCAGAATGCGCTGTCTTGGTGGTGGAGAGCACAGCTCGAGCAGTTCCTTCTATCACTTCCAGCTCCATAAAGATCTCTAGACTCCATTCAACTCACTGACAATTTTAAATCGTGAGAACCATGTAGGTGGAAATTTTCTGACTCAGGATTTTCAAGGTTATCAATCTTCAGGAAGACACATTTTTCTTACTTGGGGCAACTCATGACTTCAATCCATTAATCCTTCCATCACAGCTGAAAGCTTTAATCACTGTGCCACCAAGGCTTGTCTTCTAAAGCCTGAAAACTGGAAATTCAACACTAAGGCAGCCCACCCTGATAGACTCTCAAAGGGTGGTGGGAAATGTTAGCAGAAATAAGAAACAGCAAAGGGCCATGTGAGATATGTCATTAAGGAAGGAATATCTAGAAATGGGTCACATATATGATAGTAGCACAGACCAAGGCCAGGCTTTGTGACATCATAATGTACCTGAGCCCTCAATTAAAGGTTAGGCACAGAGATAACAGCAACAATTTCCAAAGATATCAGTCCCTTACAACCAGGTATGTCCAACGAACTGGACTCAGAGAGCTGAATGCCCATCAGATGCCCCCCAGGACAGCCATGAGGACCTCCAAGAAGCCTTCAGTTCCACTTAAGTCTCAGAAAAAGAATTCTGATTTTATTTCTTGATATTTACTCCTAGTCACACCTTACTCCACTTTTCCAGTATAACTGCATAAATGAACTTGGTTGTAATTTGTTCCTCCCTGATGATCATCTTCATCTCTTTAGGCACCTCTCTTCTTTTTCAAGCACTATGTCTTTTTCCAAGGACTGGTGCCTTCTGACAAACCAAAGTGTGTGAGATGATGTTTCATTATTCTAGCCTCTGAATAGAAACTTGGTTCTACTTATTTAAGATAGATATGTTT